GCATGTTTGTGGCTGCCAAGTTTCAGCTATAGAAGCACGCAACATCCGGTAGGTGACGCTTGCTCGCTCTAATAGGCTATCGCGGGTATCACGTCAGAGGCAGCCCGATCAAGAGTCGTAAATATCAAACATGTTTGATATTTACGATTTGAGTTCGGCGACGCTCCGTCTCGATTGGGAACAGTTAAATAATCGTAATGACACCACACAATAGAGAATTTTTTGGACAAAACGATCGGGAGTGTGGAGAGTTCGGGGGTGCAAATCGGGCTTAAAATCGGCCTTAAAATCCTCTAGTGTGCGGCCAGCCTTAGCCTTTCCAAACCATTTGATTTTCAAAACAACATACTTACATGCTGCATATAGTGACCATAAGACATCAAGCTTTAAAATTCTTAAAAAAAATTATACAGTGCTGCTTGAAAGTTTGTTAACTCTTTACAATTTTCTATATTTCTGCATAAATATGACCCAAAACATCATCAGATTTTCACACAAGTCCTGAAAGTAGACACAGAGAACCCAATCAAACAAATGAGACAAAAATATTTTCTTTGTCATTTATTTATTGAGAAAAATTACCCAGTGTTACATTTCTGTGCGGTGCAAAAGTATGTGAATTTCTATGATTAGCTGTTAATTTGAGGGTGAACAGAGTCCATCTGTTCAGAGGTGTTTTTAATCAGTGAGATGACTATCAGGTGTCAGTGTGTGCCCTGTTTTATTTAAAGAACAGGGATCTATGAAAGTCTGATCATGTTTGCGGAAGTGAATCATGGCACGAAAAAAGGAGATCTCTAAGGACCTCAGAAAAAGAGTTGTTGTTGCTCATCAGGCTGGAAAAAGGTTACAAAACCATCTCTAAAGAGTTTGGACTCCACAAATCCACAGTCAGACAGATGTACAAATGGAGGAAATTCAAGACCATTGTTACCCTCCCCAGTGCATGGCAGAGTTGCAAGAAGAAAGCCACTGATCTCCAAAAAGAAAATCACTGCCCGTCTGCAGTTTGCTAAAGATCATGTGGACAAGCCAGAGGACTATTGGAGAAATGTTTTGTGGACAGATGAGACCAAAATATAATTTTTTTGGTTTATATGATAAGTGTTCTGTTTGGAGAAAAGAACACACTGCATTCCAGCATAAGAACCTCATCCCGTCTGCGAAACATGGTGGTGGTAGTATCGTGGTTTGGGCCTGTTTTGCTACATCTGGGCCAAGACGACTTACCATCATTGATGGAACAATGAATTCTGAATTATACCAGCAAATTCTGAAGGAAAAT